ACTTCTTGAGGGAAAGGTGGGGACTCCCAGGGTCTTTACCCTCTGCCTTTATTCTGTGGGGGCTCCCTATCTCCCCGCCACCCCCCAGATCCCAGCTTGAGCTCAGCTCCAGGTCCATTGATGCAGCGGGTGATCCTGTGATCCATGTAGCTTACTGAGGAGGGGGCACCTCCAAGACACCTGGCCGTGGCTTACTGTCAGTGCTAAGGCCCCCGAGCCCCAGCCCCTAAGAGAGACCTCTGGCCTGCAGCAGCCCCCACCTTGCTGAAGAACCAATCCTCGGCATCCTTGCGGTTCTTCTCTGCCATCTTCTCATACTGGTCACGCATCTCGTTCAGGATGCGGCTCAGGTCCACACCTGGGGCAGCGTCCATCTCCACATTGATCTCACCGCCCACCTGGCCTCGCAGGGCGTTCATCTCCTATGGAAAAACGGGATGTGGGTGTGCACATCTGCACCCATCCTGACCTCTCACTCCCAAGCCTTCCCCACAAGGGGACCCCACTCCCCACCAGGACCCCTCCTTTGTTCTCCCTCTGCTCTATCTGACCCTCTAAATGATTTTTATTCATCTGCTCAGTATTATCTCCACCATCAGACTCTATCTCCCCCATTAGACCAAGGGCTCTCCAAACTAAAATCTAATTATTAGACCTCGGCCCCAAAAATTTCCACTCTAATTTCCAAGCTTCTCTGTAGATGTTCAGCTTTGAGAGTTTGAAATGGAACAAGAAGGAGACTTCCTTACTTATCCCCTGCCCTCGTGAGGTAGGCCAGGGCAGGTAGAGGGAGCCTCTGAGGGCCCCTAGGAGGTTCCTTGGGTACAGAGAAGCCGTGTAGTACAAAGAGGAGTCTACCCTGCACGCTGGACCCCAAGGATCAGGGCTCTGCAGACAGGGAAGCCCTCTAAGGTGACTAATCCCATGCGCCTGCTCTGCTCTCTCCCACAGCCTCAGCCATGGCCCAGCCCCAGGGCTCTGCCACCCACTCCTCAGCCTCTTTGACCTTCTGCCCCAGCCACCTCACCTCCTCGTGGTTCTTCTTCAGGTAGGCCAGCTCCTCCTTGAGGTTCTCAATCTGCATCTCCAGGTCGGCTCTGGCCAGGGTCAGCTCATCCAGCACCCTGCGCAGGCCATTGATGTCGGCCTCCACGCTCAGGCGCAGGGCCTGCTCGGTCTCAAACCTGCCGTGGGAATCAGAGACTTCAGCCCAGGCTGCTTGGACCTGCAGGTCCAGGTCCTGGCTGCTCACCTGCCTTCATTTTGCTAGGACTCTAAGGGGTTGGAAGGGCTGATGAGAAGGTCGAGTGGAAACAAATTCCAGTCCTGGGGCCCGGGGACCATCACAGGGCCAGATCCCACGCCCACCAGCTTCCTTACTTCTCTACGCCTCCCACCTCCCCTCCCTCTCTTCTATTCCCTGCCTAAGCCCAGCAACCTTCAGAACTGGCTGCCTTCCCTGCATCCTGGACTAAGGAGTGGGGCTCCTAGGACTGCCCCACCCTGAGCTCCTGGGCCTTGCCACAAGCAACCGAGGAGTCCTGGGGTCAGGAGGGATACCCCGAGATCCTCCCTGAGCTGGCCCGGGCTGCCCAAGCCCACTGGCCAGGACTCACTTGGTGCGGAAGTCATCAGCAGCCAGACGGGCATTGTCGATCTGCAACAGGATGTTGGCATTGTCCACGGTGGCTGTGAGGATCTGAGGAGATGGGAGAGTAGTCAGGTCATTGGATGGGGGTGGCTGAGCCCACACCAGCATTCTGAGCAGATCTTCCTGCCTGGGGGCCTCTCTTCCCTCCCAGTCCCTTCCTTGCCCTGTGCTGTATTATTGGCAGAGGAGGGGCAAGCAGGAGTCTGAAGGGCTGAAAGGTGCCTCTTCTTCCCCCGCTACTCAGTACCTGCCTCCCCCACCAGACCCCCATGCCAGGCTCAGCCTTAAAGGAGAAGAGACAGCTGGCTGGGAGTATGAGGCAACCAGAAAAGAATGGGAAAATGTCCCCAGGCAGAAGCTGTCCCAGAATTCTAGAACAAGGGAGGGGATGTGGGCAATCCCCTCGTTTCACAGCCAGCTAGAGGGTGCCCCTGACAGGCTTCCCCAAAAGGAGGCTAAAGGAGCCCTCACCAAAGAGTGGTTCCAGATCAGAAGTCAGGATCCCTCCTAATCCCTAACCCTGGGCTCCAGCCAGCAGCCCCGCCCCCTGGGGTTTGCTGAGCCCGTCTTAAGGGCCAGCAGGAGGAAAGAAGCAGCCAGAAAAATCCCCAAATAAGGCACATCAGAGGCCTTCCCCACCCTGAGGTCCCGCCCCACAGGGACCTCCCCCCGCAGCAGGTGCTATCAGGAGCTCACTCAGACACCTCCACTCCACATCACCCAAAACCCCCTCCTGCTGACCCCTGCTCCAAAGGAGCAAGACACCACGCATCCAGCAGCCCAGGGCCCCAGCCCTCCCTCTGCATCCTCCTGCCTCATCCTACAACCTCTCCAGGTGGAGGAGCTCCACGAGGGAGAAACTGAGGCTCCAAGGGGCTCCACGAGGCCTGTTTGTTCGTGACTCAGCCTGCTGCCCTCAGAAAAGGGGGATGTGGGCCACACAGGGGCCCCAAGGCAGGTTCCCAGAAGCGAAGCCACAGCCAAACCACCCTTGGCTCCCTGAGGCCCTGTGGCTGGACTCCAGGCCTTTGGCCAGGGCAGGAATTGGGGGGAAGAAGTCATGCCCCCCGGAGACCCCTCCCACCAGCAGGCCTTACCTTGTTCTGCAGCTCCTCGATTGTCCTGTGGTACTGGCTGTAGTCACGGGCGGGCCCCGGGGCCTGCCTCTGGTACCAATCACGGATCTTCACCTCCAGTTCAGTGTTGGCCTCCTCCAGGGCGCGCACCTTGTCCAGGTAGGAGGCCAGGCGGTCATTGAGGTTCTGCATGGTGGCCTTCTCACCTCCGGCCAGCAGCCCATCAACACCCCCAAAGCTGCTGCCATAGCCACCGCCAGAACCAAAGCTGTAGCAGCTGGAGTAGCTGCTACCTCCGAGGGTGCTGCCCAGGCCTCCAGCAGATCCCAGCCTGCAGGAGCCGGCACCCAGGCCGCCAGACAGCCGGCAGGAGGTGCGGGATGAGCCGCCCCCCAGGCCGGAGGAGCCCTTGATGGAGCTGGAGGAGGTGAACTGGCGGATGGTGGTGGTCATGGTGGCAGCGGCAGGAGGCAGGCACACAGGAGAAGGGCTGGAGAGGAGAGGGGCCCCAAGGTGTGTAGGGCTGCCGGGGTTTGCCCGCTTCCTTTATAGGCCACCAAGTGGGCGTAGCGATTACAACAGGCTTGCTCCTCTGTTTCCATTCCCCTGGGCTTTCATCACCACTGGCCACCTGCCAGCTTCCAGGTGGCTGGGGGCCCCCTCCCCGCCCATCATCAGGAATTTGCCTCATTTCTCCAAATCCTCATGCTGGGTGCCGTGCGTGTGTGTGTGCGTGCCTCTGGTCTCAGGCCCGTCACCTGTGATTCAGGCGGGCCCTCCAGCTATGCTTTCCCATGACCTAATACGGAGAAGAGCAGAAGGCAGGACGTCACCGTCCCCAGGCCCTCCCAGGCAGCCACCACCCCAGCCCGGCCCGCCTCAACCCTGTCTGGTGGGGAAATGGGTTGCAGTGTCAGGTGACCCCCCTGAAGTTGCTGTCTTTCACCCCACACTGCTCCACCCACGGTGCTGGCCCGGGGCTGGGTGCTGAAGAGACAGAGGGGACTGAGAGCCTATCCTGCCTTGGAAACGGAGCCCAAACCCACCAGGCCCACCTCACAGCACAGAAATGCCATCAAGCCTCGGAGACCAACCCACGTCGCAGATAAAGAAATTGGGGCTTCAGAGGGGTGCAGTGTCCACAATGGCCCCTTCAGAAAAGCACTCTAGGGGCTAGAGTTCCATCCAGTCAGCTTCTGACCCTGCCCCATCCCGAGAAGCCCTTGCTAACCCAGTCTCCTCATGTAGACCTTTCCCCAGGTTTACACCCCAGGGCTGGGGTGGGTAAACAGGGGCTCAGCTATAGGATGGGGAAATGGTGGGCAGTGCTAAGACAGGATCTAAACCAACTGAGAGGGGGATGCCCCCTTCCACTCCCCTCACCCTTCTGTACCCCAAGAGACCTCAGGGTCAGGTGAGGGGCATTTATCTCAGGTCTCAGCCCACAGGAAACCTAAAGTATATTGCCCAAGAAGAGGCTTTTACTGAGACCCCAGCCAGCCCCCTCCCCACTCCAGGCTCCCCAAAATGTGGCTCCTCAGGTGTGCCATGTGCCCCACCCCACAGCCCCACCCTTCCCTGCCCACCACCCCAAGCCCGGCCCTGGGTCCCAGGGTCCCTCCAGGCCCGCTGGGTGGAATGTGGTCATATTTCAGACTGCCGATGGCTTCTACTTCCCAGACAGGCCCAGACAGCCCCGCCAGCAGCTGAAAGAGATTCCTCAATAGCCCAGTGGCTGCCAAGCCACCAAAACAAACAGGACGCCCCCCACGCATACACGCACAGCGGCCACCCCACCCCACACACACACCCGGGCTGGGCAGAGCCGGTCTGGTTTCCTGGGCTGGCTGCGTCGCTGCCACCCCCTCTCACTCATCAAGGCCCTGGACCACTCCTTCAGAAGTCCCTCCCCACCGAGCCCCTCTCTTTCTGCTCTCGAACGCGCCCCGGGCTGAGGCAGGGAGTGCTCCCCAACAGGCGTGGTCCTTGGAAAGTCTGTGTGGCCGTCCCAGGGACCAGCCACAGGTGACAGGGACTCAGGGGCTGATTCTTAGAAACTTTTCCCAATACAAGGGGCTGTCCCATCCCTCCACCCTTAATCCTTCCGCCTCCTCCCGTCTCATCTTCCCAGGAGTCCCAGGCCTGGATGGAGTGGGCAGCACAGATTGGCAGGTGACAAGCCGATACCCAAACACTCAGTAAATTCTCCACCTCCCCCAGTCCCTCAGCCCACACTGCCCCAAACCAATGAATAGACCAGATCACACGAGGCATTGAACTTGGGGCAAAGCTTTAATAGCAGGCACTGGACAAACCCAGGAGGCCTCCTCAGTGTGGGGCTACAGGAAGCAGATACAGAAAGACCACAGGCCATGGACTGGGGCCCAGTCGGACACTCGGGGCATGGCAGCATCATGCTGGAGCTGGAGCTGAAGGCTGTGCTGTGGCCCGTGAGGTGGGGCTGTCACAGGCAGAAAGGGGCCTCGGTGGTGGAGAGTTGGATCTGCTCACAGAAGGAGGCCACCTCTCCAACCTGGACTTCCACCACGATGGCACAGCTGGTGGCTGGTCACTGTGGCTGCAGGCGATGGAGGCGGGGGGTCGCAGGGAACATCAGGCAGGAGCTCTTCCCCCTACCTGTCCCCCAGTCTGTGTTCCCCCCAGTCTCACACACAGAAGGGTCCTCAGCCTCTCCCCTGCCTTGGGGTCCACACAGCAGGACAGGGCAGCTTCTTACCTTCCCGGGTAGGCTGTGAGGCCAGGGACAAGGAGTACTGAGTGGCCAGCCTGCAGGGAGAGGAGCACCCATCAGCCCGGGGATGCCAGCCAGCCCAGGCCCCTGCAAGCACTGCTGGGGAGAAGCAGGCCCTGGCAGAGGAGGTTCCCCCAAATTGGTGAAAAATGGCAGCTAGGAATGCACAGAAATCAGCACAGGCCCAGGAATGAAAGGGCAGGGGCCCCGCGCAGCGGGAAGAAGAAAAAGAAACAGCACAGCGTAGGCCCGGCAGCACTGTGTGACTACTCACCAGGAATTTACAAGGAGAAGCAGAGCAAGTGGCTTTTCCATATCCCAGAGGACCCAACAAATAAACCCAATTAAAGCAGGAGACACTGTGGTGAGACTATAGATGGACTTCACCATTTTCGGGGAGCAAAAAGCTGCAACGTGTGACTAAGCATGGAGACTCCAGAACACTGTCAACGGGAGGCCTGACCACCCTTCCCGACTGCAAACCCGACCACCGCCCACCTCGCTCCTCACCCTGGGGCTGATGGTATCACCACTCACACAGTCATCAGAACCAGAAACCCAGGGCCATCAATGCCCACTCCTTCATGTGTTCACCGACACAAACTGAGTCCTGACTGTGAGCCACGCTCACCCCAAGATCCAGGCATGCAGTCCTGCTGTTTCGAGCTATAACCTCTCTTCTGCATGCACCACCTTCCTTCCCCTGCCCCCCACGCAGGACTTCTCTGGCCAGGCTCCCTGCTCCAGCCCCCGATGCATCTCTCTGGCCCCAGCCTGACCCCTCTGATCCATTTCTCCCTCTGCAGCCGGAGTGAATGTTCTAAAATATCTTGATGTTCCTTCCCTTCCTCTGCTCCAAATCCCTCCATGGCTCCCCATTGCCTACGTGATCTAGTCCAGACGCTTTAACTTGGCATTCAAGGCTCCTCAGTCAGACTCCAGCCTGCATCCTCAGTTTCACCTCCTGCAAACCCCCACAGGTTCCCACGTTCACACCTCCTGGACTTCGCTGGTGCTCAGACACCAACTTCTCCCTGGGCGAAGCGGGCCCCCAGCCTACCCCAGCAGGTACCCAGGTGCACACTCACTGGGCGTCCTCAACCTCCAGCAAGCGGCGGTAGGCGGCGACCTCCTACTCCAGCCATGTCTTCACATCCAGAAGGACCTGGTGCTCGTGGTCCTCGTGTCACAGCAGAGCTCGCACAGCTGCTACTCCATGCTTCTGATGAGCCCCTGCAACTGGGCCAGCTGGGTCCCGTAACACACCTCCGTCTCCACCAGGCTGCCCTCCAGCGATGCTTTCTGTGGGCCAAGAGATAGGTAGTGCGATGAGATGGACCTGGGACCCTTCCCCACGGCAGAGCACTAGAGAGGAGCCCCTACTGTACGGGGCTGTGGGTGCTGCCGGCACAGTGGGGCGGCAATGCACCCAGCCACTGAGTGTGAAGGGACAGGCTGGGTGGGGACTCTGGTTCTCCAAGCTGGGGTCTACAAGGCTGGGCTCACCCTGGGGTGACAGCTACAGGGTGGGGAGGGGACAGAGGCCCTACCTGGCTGAGCTGGGACAGTTCAGGTTCTGCACAGAGCTGTAGAGCTCCATATCTCTGTCCTACCGCTCTGTGGGGCCTCTGTGTTGGTGGCCACCTCGCAGTTCAGCCCCTCTCTCTGGAAGACAGAGTGGGCCACAGGGGAGTAAGGAGGCTTTCAGAAGTGGGGCACAGGAAAGGGGCTGCTCCGAACCCTCACTTCCCAGAACCATCCCCTAGCCCTTCCCAGGCCTCTATGGGGCCCCAAAGGCACCTGCGCACAGAGACCCCCTGCACCCACACTGGAACTTGGAGGAACTCAGCCTGCTCTGCGGTCATTTGCATTTCTTACTCCCACCGAACTGCAGCACCTCAAAGACAGGCACTGGGTGTTATTCTTTTGTGCCTGTTGCTGTCCCTAGGACACCGGAGACACTTAGCCTGTGCTTGCCAAGGGTATGCATATGTATTCAAACACACACATCTTGTAAACAGCTGTGGTGGAAACCCAAGACCAGGCTTGTAGAGACCTGGATCTATTTCACAGGCCACAGTGAAGGGCTGTGTGAGCTTGAGTCCTCTCTGAGCCTCACATTTTACATCTAAAACATGAGGGGCTGGTCCAACTGGTTTCCAAAAGTCCTTCCAACTGGGACGGCCTGTGGATCTGCCAGTGTTCCAGCTGCACCAGCATGCAGCACATGTGCCCACACGTGTGCACACCTGCTTACACACGGCCACCCACCACGCTGAAGAACCAGCCCTCGGCATCCTTGCAGCTCTTCTCCACCAATTTCTTGTCCTGGTCACACATCTCATTCAGGATGCAGCTCAGGTTCACTCCAGGCACAGTGTCCATCTTCACACTGACATCCTCGTGCACCTGACCTCAAAGGGCGTTCATTTCCTGGGCAGAGAGTACAGCAGGAGCTCACCCAAGGCCATCCTGAGGAAAGACCCTGGGACCTGCCTTCTCTACCTCGAGGAGACAGGTACAGATGACAGACAGACAGACAGACAGACACAGATAGGCCAACAGCTCCTCACCCTGAAGGTGGAGGTGGATGCTGTCACTTCTCAAACATACAGGGCTATAAGTATCAGCAACCTCCCCCAACACACACCGTGACTCGGGACTGGACTTCACCCATCCCCAACAAGTGCTAAGCCCCGAGAGATGACAACCCCCGAGCACGGCGGAGGATGACCACGGACGACCTCACTCACTGCCCTGACCTTGCCCCCACCACCAACCCCACAGCACAGGCATGCAGAAAGCAACACTGGTGTCACCGCACCAGGCCCCGTTAGCAAATGTTAATCTGCTGGAGGAAAGCAATAGTATAACCAGCCTCAAAGCCAGGGGGAAACCCCTTCCGGGTGTCCCGCTTCTCGGGCAGTAGGCTCCCCCAGCTCAGAGCAGCACGGAGCTCGGCAGAGAAGGAAGCCACAGGACAGGGCATGTAAGGCCTCCTGGCTGCCCTGGCAGAACCTTGGCTCGCTATCCTTGGGTTGAGCCTTGGAGTCCCCGGGACCTAGGGCCTTCCGGAAAGGAGAGGCAGGAGAGGGGCAGAGAGGTGGAGTGGATACGAGTCCAGCAGACCTGAAGGAGGGTCCCTGTGCAGCCGTAGATAAATCCCTTAACCTCTCTGAGCCTCAGTTTCTTCACGGGTCAAAAGGAGGAAAGAGTATCTGTCTCCCACCTGCAGTATCAGCTGAGATAATGGCTCTGAGCCATTTGCAGTGCTGGGCAGAAGTTCCTTGTTTTCATGACTATCACTATTATAATTAATTATAATAATTAGCATTGTGTGTTCTTACACTGACTTACTCATTAGTTAGTTAACTTCAGTGAGCTGAGCCTCAAGGGACAAATGAAGTCTATTTGGGAAGAGAGGCTCCTCCAGGCCTCACTCAGGGTCCTCTGAGGGTCAGGGCTGGGCATCCATAAGAGATGGGAACTGGACTGAAAACATGGCCTGGCCCAGGGAGGTTCTGGGCCCCAGCCTCGCTTGCTTCCAGGTGAATTTCTGCTGCGTTCCCTGAGCTGACCTCACCTCCTCATGGTTCTTCTTCAGGTAGACCAGGTCCTCCTTGAGGTTCTCAATCTGCATCTCCAGGTTGGCTCCGGCCAGGGTCAGCTTGTCCAGTTCCTGGGGCAGCTCCAGAGACCCAGCCTCACTTGGTGCAGAAGTCATCGGCAGCCAGCTGGGCATCATCCACCTGCAGCCAGCACGAAGCTGGAATGACCGATCACAGCCACCGGGATCTGGGAGAGACGTGGGCTCCATGAGCAAATGCCCTTGGCAGCCTCCAGGAGACCCTCCAACACCCTTCTTGCAGCCTTTTCGGAAATGAGCCAGGGTGAGGGTGATGAGAGTGCCCGTGGTCTTCTCTGGGCACCCTCCTGGGAATTTCTGGGACCCAGCCAAGGCCCTCAGGGGGTTAAAGGATGATGGGGGTAGGATGCCCAGGCATGGGTAAACACGGATGCCAGGAGAGAGACCCTTATGCAGCTGTCTGCCACCATGGGGGTCATGGCTGCCTAGGCCTCACTCCCTCTTTCCCAACTAAATTCACCTCTAGGTTCAGCTGCCACCTCCTCCAGAAAGCCCTCCTGGATTCACTTCTGCATCTCTTTTCTGGGTCATACCTCCTTCCTTCTCCAGGTTGTGAATTTATACCTATTTCTATGACTTTTTTGGTTATTTCCTCCTCCACTGGACTGTGAGCTCCAGGGAGACAAAGCCATGTCTGTTTCCTTCTCTTTGGAATCCCCAGCCCTGGGCACAGTGCCCTGGCCCAGAGTTGGCCCCGAGGGTTCGTTAGTTTAATTAAGTGATTCGTTAATTAATTAATGAGGTTATGACTGGCCTCACCTCAAACCTAGGGCAAAGCTTTCTTTTCCCACAAGGTCATCTGGGCGGTTTCAATGCAAACACGGAGGGAGGGGCCCAGAAGAAGCATAAGGTTGGTTGTGATTACTGCTGCTGTTGATGGCATGGTTGGAAATGCCCAAGAGGGGTTCCAATTGAGGTCATGGGCATGCACCAAAGAGTGAGGCCCCTCCAGCAACCCAGAAGTTGAAGCACTTGTGAAGGTGACACATGTGCGTGTAGAATCTGGAATTTGCTGAGGCTCAGGGCTGACCACCCAAGGCCTCAGAGGGAGAAGCCCCAGGACACACTAGTAGCCCCCACAGGCTCATCCTGTGCAACCCCTCCCAGACCCTACTCGAGGCCCTAAGTTCTGTGAAGTGACCCTGGGTCAGGCTGAGCCGAGGGCCAGTTTGTTCCCAGCACCCCCTCCTCTGCCTCAGTGGGCCCATCTGCATCTGGCAGAGACCCACCCAGCCCCCATCTCCTTGCTCAGGAGGCTTTGGGGGCACAGCAAGGGGTGGTGATGAGGCGCTGGCTGGTCCCAACATCAGGAGCACTGACTCACCAGGGTTTCCCTGGGTTCCCCGCTGCCAGGACCAACCCCAATATCTGATCTGGCACTGCCAGTATCTCTGCTTCCAAGGGGAAATTGCAGGAATTCCCATCTAGTGGAGGTCCCGGGCAGGAACAGACAAAGCCCCTCGTAGGCAGCACCAGGCCCGGCTCTGCACCCAGGAAACTGAGCAGGCCTAACCGCCAGGGCCAGCTGGGCCTAACCTGACTCCCGCCTGGCTCCCCTGGCTCCCCGGTCCCCCTGCCTCCCCTGGCTCCCTTGGCCCCCCTGGCCACTGTACTCATCGCTTGCACCCCTCACCTGGCACTGGTGGCATTGCTCTGTAGGACCCTCCAGGGCAGGGTTTGTGCAGAAGACAAAGTGGCCATGTTTACAGAATGCCAAAGCCATGTTCTTAGAGGTCATGAGAGAGAGTGTGTATGTGTGTGCGTGTGTGTGTGGTGT